AATGTCTCACATGAGTGTGTGTGAGAATTTGTGATTGTGGGGAATTGTGCGTGTGGTTTCTTTAACTAATCTCATGGCCCATTAATGTGAAGACTAGTAGAAAGTCAGGTGAATTGGAGAATCCAGGAACCCTATTTGTAAGTTGCACCACTCCAAAGCAGATTTTCCAGCAGAGGAGAACAATCATGAAATTGTAAAACTGGGTTCTGGAATCTTCTTGTGGATATTGATATTTGTTACTGGAGTGAACAAAAATTTCTTATACTTGGATTTTAGGATAAAGAAGGTGGTTTTATGGTAAGAGACTCCAGTCAGCCGGGCATGTACACAGTCTCCCTTTATACAAAATTTGGAGGGTAAGTAGTCCTGCTTTATTTTTTCAATTTAGAATTTTTGTATGAACTTCCTATAGAGTTTGTATGGTTTCCTAATTTACAAAAATTACGCTGCATTTCAGCATTAAAAAAGAAAATCTAATTTGATTTCTAAAGTCTATACTATTTTTCTGTATTCATATTTTCAATATTTCTCCCATAATTTTTTGTATATATATTGTTGAGAATGACTGTGGAAACTTTAGTAATGTTCAACAAGTAATTATTGTGCACTGTGCTAAGTGCTAAGGATACACAGTGAGCAAAGAAGACACAAACCTATCCTTAAGTAGCTTATAGGAGCTACCGACAAACAAAGAGGCAGTCATGGTACTATATGAGTGTTATGATAGGGGGACAATGCTGGGGTGTGGGAGTGCTTATGTAGCCCAGACCATCTGAGTTAGTCCTGAAAGGTTTCCTAAGTGACACCCAAGCTGAAACCTGACAAGCAAGGCAGCGAAAGTTGGAGGGAGAGGAGAGAGTTTCTGACCTGAGAAACTGCTGGTCCAAGGACCCAGAGGTGAGAGAGGACCTGGTGAGTTTGAGGAACTGAAATGAGTGTATTGCAGTGTAGAGTGGGAGAGGCAGAGTGAAGGGAGGAGGACGAAGCGTGGAGAGGTAGAAGAGAGGCCAGGTCATGTCCACAGTAAGAGGTTTAAGCTTTATCACTAAGAGCAGCAGGGAGTTATTTTGAAGGGTTTTTAGCAAGAGATGACTTGAGAAGACCTGTGTTCTACAAAGATACCTAAAATGAAACACGTACCTTTATAAGTTTAATTTATTCGCTTTTAGTGGTGTAGATGCTCTAGACATGTCTACGTTTACAACAGCAGGAACAAAAAGCAGTGGCAGCTGATACCTATTTTAAGATGTTCAACTGATGCTGGAGTTAGAAATACTCTCTTTAAGGAGCCAAGTATGTTACCAGTGACCTCTTCAAAAACGTCCGCCTGTTAATATGAAAAGCGAAGTTAAGAAGAATGTGGGGGAAAATAAAATGTACGCAGGGAATAAAAGGGGCCATAGGTAGAAAACATCCTATGAAGTTACATTATTCCAATTTAGTTCTGACACATTTTGTTTTTTGTTATAGAGAAGGCTCATCAGGTTTCAGGCATTATCATATAAAGGAAACAACAACATCTCCCAAGAAGTATTACCTAGCAGAAAAACACGCTTTTGGTTCAATTCCTGAGATTGTTGAATATCATAAGCACAATGCAGCAGGTAAGTGAGCTGTTAAAAGCCTACTTCAAATATAAGGTGGTTCCTAAAATGATCAGGCATGATCACCGATAAACACTGCAGTATTTAAAGGAAAATGTCTTGCTGAATGAATAAAAGTATAGATATATTTTAATTTTTTATGTCCCATAAAAATGTGCAGTTGTCAACTCAGAGTATAGGATCCTATTCTTCCTTCTATCCTCCCTTTCTGCCTTTCTTCTTCTCTGCCACCCCACCTCCCCACTTGCCTTTCTGCCTTCCTTTTTCTTTGTTGCTAGCACTGCAAATAGTAACTTTATTCTTAAGATAGTTAAAATGTAACTTCATTCCTAAGATTTTTTTCTACCTACAGCCCCTTCTATCTCCTTCAAAAATTTTATTTTCTCCGCCTTTGTCTTAACTTTGTTGCTAATAACTCTGTGTTGTATGTACACTCAAAAGATTATCAGTACATGAGCAAGTAAATGAACTTTATAAATGAGTTTCTAGTTTAGCACTTAACCGTTCAGAACAATTAAGAATGAGTTCGACTACAATATTCTTTTTGTTTTCTAGGGCTTGCCACAAGGCTACGGTACCCAGTTAGTGTTAAAGTGAAGAATGCACCAACTACTGCAGGATTCAGCTATGGTAACTCTTATTTTATAGTTGCATTAGATAGTTTTCCTTGAAAAGAATCCAATATCACCAGACAAATTTAGATGTGTAGAATCCCACATAGTGGGACTGTTTTTATAAGTTTATAGTATGGATTTTTTTAGATGAGTATATTTTCACAGCTGTAGTAACCCTAGGTTTTCTATTTTCATCATTAGTCATAATTCAATAGAGAACTTTCCATCGGTGAAAATTAAGCATTATCATGTCACATCTAAACTAAATCAAAGCTCTCCCTGGTTCTCACCATCTTTGTTGGTTACTCACAGGAATGTAAGGGTGGAGGTCATAGAGAAGCCATCTAACTTGATTGTCTTGATTGTCGCTTCAGGCAAAAGCTTTTTAAATAGCAGGTTAAATTATTTCCGAGGTCCCTGGGTGGTGCAAACAGTTTGCGCTGAACTACAACTGAAACGTTGGTGGTTCGAATCCACCTAGAGGTACCACAGAAGAAGAGGCCTGGCGATCTGCTTCTGTAAAGATTATAGCTAAGAAAAGCCTATGGAGCATTCTGCTCTATAACACATGGGGTTCCCACGAGTCGGAATCAAGTCAATGGCATTGTGTTTGGTTTGGGTAAATTCTTTCTAACCTGACAGAATTTAAAAAGAAGAAACCCCTGGAGGGAAGAGTGGTAAAGGAAGAAGTATTTGTTTAAAAAAAAAAAGTGCCGTTAACTTTCAAGCAGTGTTACTATTGGCCTATTATGTAGCATCTTTTTTTGGCTTCTTCAGCTCACTTGGTTGTACTGTGACACCTTACTTAGATGGCAAACCATCATCCCAGGTGGTGGAAAACTACCCTTTGCAGTTCAGATTTAGGTTGCAAGTCTGTTCTGTGTTTCACTACTAATCCTATAACTTTAAAGTTGAGCTTGGTTATAGTTTTTTTCCCCACTGATTCACTGTATGTTCTCCTTATTAAATGTTATCACTTTCCCCCTCTGTCTTACAGAAAAATGGGAGATTAACCCTTCAGAGCTGACCTTTATGAGGGAACTGGGGAGTGGACTGTTTGGAGTGGTGAGGCTTGGCAAATGGCGGGCCCAGTACAAAGTAGCTATTAAAACTATTAGGGAAGGTGCCATGTGTGAGGAGGACTTTATAGAAGAAGCTAAACTGATGATGTAAGTTACTATCTTCTTTCTGGTTCTCCTTTTTTATTAAGAAGTGGCCACTCACCAGCTAATACCCATGCTTGTTTCTTTACTGTAGTAACTATGTGTCTGCATATCTTCCTGGCAGGAAACTGACACACCCGAAGTTAGTACAGCTTTATGGTGTCTGCACACAGCAAAAACCAATTTACATTGTTGCCGAGTTCATGGAAAGGGGCTGCCTTCTGAATTTCCTCCGACAGAGACAAGGTCATTTTAACAGAGATGTGCTGCTGAGCATGTGTCAGGATGTGTGTGAAGGGATGGAATACCTGGAGAGGAACAGCTTCATCCACAGAGATCTGGTAAACCACCCGCCTTCCTATTCACCGACTGAAATTCCTTGTAACACTGTCAACAAATGAGCAATGATGTATTAATACTCAATTTTTTTTCCTCAACAATGTTTATTTTTAAACTTGGTAAGTTTACATGCCCTATAATTTTAAAGGAAAAATTTTTTATTAAATCTAATATTTATGTAGTTAATATCTCCAAGCAAATTCTCATGCATTAACCATTTGATCTCCATGAGAATCCCATGAAATAGCTAGTCATAGCAGATTGTTTTGCCATCAAAGATTAGCTTCAGGGAAGTGAAATGAGTTGCCTGAGGTGATAAATGGGGAAGTTAGAGTTGACCCTGATCCTCTGGTTAAATTCCAAGCTCTTTCTACCTCACACACTACAAGCAGAAACTGTAAGAGAAAGCTTTTGGTTCATTTTCTTAGCTCTCGAGTCACTGGGGAAAAATGGAAGCCATGTTAATTCCTGAAAATATCAGAAAGGAAATTTTCTATTACTGATTCTAAATTATTGTGATGGAGACACTTCTTTATTTATTTTAATCCTAACTTTCTTCTGATGAAATATGGACCCATTTCTTCTGGAGTAGCAGTAGAGCATTTATTTAATAATCGCTTTAAACAGGCATTGTTCTAAGTAGTTGACAAATATAAACTCATTAAATCATCATAACAACCCTAGGAAGTAGATACCATTATTTTTCCCATTTTACAGATGAGAAAACTGAGGTGCAGATAGGATAAAATGACTTGCTGATGGTCGGATAATTGTGGAGCCAGGATTTGAACCCAGGGAGTTTGACTCTAGAGTCCACACTGTAACTACTATGGTATGTTGCCTCTAGATTGAGAGCATAATCGAGAGTTGAGGAGCTGGAGATGGAAAACTTGATTTCCCTAGGTGTGTTTTGGGATAGCTACCTAATCTCTCTTAGACTGTATTTTCACTCCTGTACATTGTGGGTTTTAATATTGCTCTGCTCACAAGACTGTTTTAAGGAACAAATTATATGATTGGGGCGAAGGGCTGTGTAAAATAGAAAACATGCTGTGTATAGCATTAGTTATCATTATCATTAAGCTCAGTGATGACAAAGAACACCTCTTTGTCATATTGAAACTTGTGAACTAAACACCTTCCTCTTTTTTGTACTTTTGAAACCAGTGAAAAATGAAGGCCTGTTTGGGTGTGGCAGTGTTTAATATTTTTAATATTAATATATATTAATATTTTTAATACTTTTGTACCTATGATAGTGATATCATTATGGTAGGTTCATATCAAGTGTTTT